ATCTCCTGGAATCGACAAACACGATACCTGGGCGTGACGATGGACCAGCGTCTCACGTGGAAACCGCACATCGTGGAGACGGTGGCGCGAGCGAAGACCACCAGGGCTAGGCTCTATCCCTTACTCAAAGGTGGAAACACCCTCAGTTTAAGGAATAAGCGAACGCTTATCAAGGTGGTACTTCAACCGCAGCTAACCTACGCCTCCACGGCGTGGGGTCACGCGGCAAAAAGCCACTTAAAGTCATTACAGGCTGTGGAAAACATAGCCCTCCGCACGGCCACCGACGCGCCCTGGTACGTAAGAAACACTGACATATTACGAGACTTACAATACACAAACGCTACACAGACAATAAGACAAAACGCGGAGAAACGATTTGACGTAGCCGCTAGACATGACAATCCCCTCCTCAGGCAAGCCGTTGACTACGTACCCGACGTAACCGACAAACACAAAAGACCTAGACACCAACTTTTTGACCCTGGGTGACCACCCCAACGACTCCCCCCCCCGCCCGCTAACCTTTTCTGAAAATTTTTGAGGAATATCAAGGTCATTGTGTTTTTCAAGTACCTACATAGGTACACCAAAATGAAGACTGTCAGTGTGTAGGTACAGTACTTAGATACAATACAAGAAGTAAAATTCCAACGTGTGGGGCTGAAGTGGATAATCGATCAACCAACCCAGCTGGGATATATGTAGATTTAGAGATGAAAAATATTTATAAAAAGATTCTTGGGAATTTTTACAGAGGAGGCACTGCCTCAATTATTTATTATTTACTATTTTAATAACATCAATTTATATTGTTTAATGCACTCACCTATTTTTTAAAATTAAAATCCATTCTCCTGCTTTTGTCCGCACTGAACTTCTGTGTCACCTTTTCGTTAAAGTCTGGAATATTTTTAACCATACAGTTCTCAATGGACAACATTCCTAACGCACTTAGACGATCTTCACACATAGTATTTCTCAAAAAAGTTTTAATCAGATTTAGTTTTGAAAAACACCGTTCTGGTTCTGCTGTTGTCATTGGTATCGTCACTAATATTTGTAAAGCTTGAGTAATTTCCTTAAAAACTGGCCTACTTTTGCACTCTTTCTGTACCTGAACTAAATTCAACACTGGCGTTGGACGTCCGTTATTTTTCAATTCGACTTTTTCCTCTAAACTTAAATTACTAATAACAAGTTTTTTTATTTCACAAACCCTCATTTTAAACTTAAACTTATAAAATATAATGTCTTAAAAAGCGCCAAAGCAAAAACAAAACACGTATAACTACACTGCAGTGATACGGGATACTGCCACATTGAGTCCCAAAATAAAGCGCACGAGCCTATCGCCGCCTACCCCTCCACGTGCCAATTTGTCCAATCATATGTAAAAATATGCTT